ATGTCACCATTTGAATTATTTTTCCGACATTTATTTCTTATAGTCAAATGGCGTCATCATTTGAAATTTTTTCCTCTATATTTCTTATAATTAAATGGCGTCATTAAATTTAAAAAAAAAATTCGGAGTCTGTCTTTGTATAACAAACCACTGGAAAATCTAATATTTTTATTAAATATCATTTAAAATTTATTATTAAAAAAAATAATATGAAATTATTTACAGCAAATGAGAAAGCCGCCCCATAAAAGGACCAGAAAAAGTGAATATTCGTATATCCCGCAAGTTGTTAAATAATGCATTAAAAAAGAAGTGGTTTGTTTGTGGCGTGTACGGTTGGCATGTGGACCTAACATGAGATATTTTGTAGAAAAGAACTAAATTACACGAATGCTCCCTGTATTATACAAAATTTACAATTTTAGTCCATCAAATTTCCATCTTTTATGAACTTCTATAAATGCCAAATTAAATAAAAACAAAAGTAATGTCATTTTCATTCTTATTTTAGGAAATTGCCTTTCAAGTTCGGTATTGATTTATATGGTTTCTATTTAAAACTCTTTTTCTCTCTTCCTTTTTCTCTCTCTCTCTCTCTATATATATATAGGGTTGGGTTCACGTGAGACCAAGTGTTTTTCGTGAGACCCGTAAGACCAATTTATGTTCATTGATCAACTTTATAAGCTAATGATCTAATGGTCTAAAGTTGTACGGTGACAATTTTGTGATTATTGAGAAATCTCGTGGAGTTTATGAATGTTCAGATTCTCATATTGTATAACTAATCCAAAGATTGAGAATTGGTCTTACAGGTCTCACGAAAAACTTTTGGTCTCACATAATCCTAAGTCTATATATATATATATATATATATATATATAATGTTAATCAAATGAGAACCATAAAAATGTTATGAACATATAAGAACTGATATAAAAATATCTTTTTATATATTTTTTTTTATCAAAAGTTATAATTTAACATATTGTTTTACATATGTTTGCGTTTATCTTATGAAAAAAAATTACATATAAAACTTTTTTTTGATTCACTTAGTGAAATAAAAAATATTCATATGATAAAACAAATACATGTGAAACTATCACATTATGAAACAAATATATGTGAAGGAATATGTTAAACTCCAGCATTTTATGAAAAAAAAATCATGTAACAATTTATTTTTAAATCGATTCTCACAGGGTTTGTAACCTTTTTGTAGATCTCATTTGATTTAACTTATATATATATATGTGTGTGTGTGTGTGAGAGAGAGAGAGAGAAAGAGAGAGAATAATTAGATGAGAACCACAATAAGGTTATAAATTTGTAAGAACTGATATAAGAACTTTTAATTGAGATCTGAAATATACTAAGTTGCACAAAAAATGATCAACATATATTTGTGTTCACCTTATGAAAAAAATTATGTGAATTTTTTTAATTCACTTAGCGAAATGAAAAATAAACATAAAAAATGTTTATATGGTGAAACAAATACATCTGAAAACCATCACATTATGAAAAAAAATATTATGTGAAGCAAAATCTTAAATCCTAGCATTTGATGAAAATAAATCATGTAAAAATTTATTTTTAAACCAGTTCTCACCTAGTTTCTAACCTTTTTGTGGTTCTCATTTAATTTAACATACATGTATGTATGTATGTATGTATGTATGTATGTATGTATGTATGTATGTATGGGTGACGGATTGTGTGAGAAGGAAAGTTACGATGAGAAGTGTAAAAAGATATCTGAACCTTTGATCTCTTTTAATCTCATACCTATCCATAAAAAGCACTTTAGAAATAAATTGATCTGGTGCATCTCGATGCACCTCATTAGTGTTTACATTCAATTATGATTGATCCAAAGGTGGAGATATCTTCTTACGCTTTTCACCGTAACTTCTTTTCTCGCCAGAATCCAACCACTATGTACGATACACAAATATATAGATATATAGATATAGGGAAGAGTTCAGACAAGAACAACTTTGTTTTACGAGAACGCAAGAATATCTTTTTACTATAGTTAATCACATCTAATATTGTAGTTCATCGGATTTGATACACATGTGATACTAACTGAGGGATGCAAGATTGATTTTACGTTATGATTCATATTGGTTCACATGTTTTTTTTCTTGTGTGTGAGTATGAGTGTGTGCTTTCATGTGCAAACGTATTTCTGTTTTTGCGTTTTTTCACACAAACCATTTTTTAAAGTTTCATGTATGAATAAACATTGTATAAACCATGCATATTCACATGTGATGATTCATTTATGAAACAACACACACAAAATGGTTTTCGCGCTTTCCAACTTTAGACAGAGGGAGTTTTAAGAAAATCATGATCAATATTTATATTAGAAAACAACTGTGATATTTATGGACGATTGTTAGGGTTCATTTGTTATGATCGAGATATTTATAGAGATGATAGAGTTTATTCATGGTGATCATCGTTTTAGATTAGAAAACAATCGAGATATTTATAAAATCGGATATTTTAAACTTCTTAAGCCATTGTTTGTCAAATGTAAGCTAGCTTATATTATGGGGTTTCTTAAAAAAAAGCTTCATTTAGGGGGGTGTTTAGGATTGCTTATTTGAAACAACTTATACTTTTCTACAAAGGTCATTATCAACTTATTATAAGTTAGAATGATTTAACTTTTCTTCAAAAACTCATTATTACCTGTTTGGTACCGGTAAGCTGTTTATTCAAACACTCAAAAGTGCTTATTACCGGTACCATATCAGAATAAGTCAATAAGTTGTTTTAAGCAATCCAAAACACCCTATAATTGAATTCCAACTCAATCCTATGTTTGGTGTGAAGGATTTCACGGATTTGATATCCCGTGATTTCATTGAAATCTCACAAACATAGAATTTTGAAATCCCATGAGGGTGGCTGGTATTTCATGAGATTTAGTCGCATATGTATATAATAATATTTAAAATATGTTTAAAACATTTGTTTTGTGACTATCAATTAATAAAAAGGTAATTTCGATATTTTTATAATTATTTATAATTGTTTTAATAAATGACTTGTAAATAATTGAATTTTATACCAACGTCAGTTTCGGGTATATCCCCATTCATAGGTCTGAGATCTACATCTATGAATTGAAAAGCCTGAATGATCCACAATTTTTAGAATCAATAGGTCTTCAAATCGTTCCTTCAAATCCTACGAATGAGATAATGATATTAAAAAATTTACATTCATATTTGGAAAAAGATAATATAGATTATTATTATTAAAATAGTATTTGATTAGATATTCAAATAGAACTTGTTTAATCGTGAGTCCATGATGTGTATGAACTCATAAAATTGTGAGTTATTTGATCAGATAAATCTATAAAAGTGTGAAAAATATTTTATTTTGAAAAAGGTCACGTCTTATAGAAAACGCACACCTTGTCTTACAAAAACGCTATAGGGCTTATTGTAATGATAGACACGTGTCTGGTATAGCCTTTTTGAACAATGGTGTATGTGTATGTGTGTGTGTGTGTGTGTGTATATATATATATATACGGGCCTAATCAAATGAGAACTAATTAGTTTGTGGTAACCATGAGGTCCAATCTCAGTTACAAATCAATAGATAAATTAGGAAATTTATAATTTTAAATTAAAATTTTAATGCAAGAACATTTTAGGTATTTTAAAACTCTCATCTCTCCTCTCTCCGTCCCCCGCCTTCGGTGGTACCACAGTGGTATCACAATGCGTCTTATATGTGCTTGGGTATTACACTGAGGTCGTTTGTGTGGTCGATCGAAGATGTAACACAGTGGTATCACAATGCATCTTGTGCTTAGGTATCACATTGTATCTTTTCAATATTTTTAGGTATCACAGTGGTATAACTGGAGGACGGTGGCAGGAAGACGGGGGACGGCGAGAGAAGAGATAAGAGAGAAGAGATGAAAGAAAATACCTGAAATGTCATTGCATTAAAATTTTAATTCAAAATTACAAAATTTTCTAATTTTATCTATTGATTTGTGGTTGAGCTTGGATCTCACAGTTACCACAAACTAATCAATTCTCTCTTGAATGGGTCCCCCTATATATTTATAGTTGAGTTTTGGTAAGATTCTAATTTTGTGGATCATAAAAATTTAACATCCTCACCTACGTTAACATTTCATGTCAATGCATGTGAACTTAAGTTAACATTTCCATATTAGTAGAGCCGGTCCTGAGATTTTTGATGTCCAGAACGAAAATATTTGAAAGTGCACAGTATAAAAATCTCTAATTCTTTTTGCTGTTTGCAACAATTTTGAACACGATATTACCGTGCAAAAAAATTCACACAATGAACGCTTCGGAAAACAAAAAACCTTGTTCAATGGTTTTAAGTTCTTTAAAACTTCAAATAAATGCAAAGTAGCAATTGTATGGTCAAGAAATTATTTTGAAATAAATCAAAAATAAACTATAGTCAACATGTAGTGGAATGCGTCCGTTCGGCCAAGATGCCTAAGGTATACCGAACGTATCTTATGGAATTTTCGCATCCGAACCGACAGTATCAAATTGTCACGAAATTTTATTTGCCAACATTAGTAACTAGAAGAAACTCGTTCCCGAGCCGAAGACTTTCGGCACCTAGCTCAGGCCAAAGCAAACAAACTTGCGCCATACAGGTCATTAGAAGCCTGCTCAAGTAATGTCGGATTGCCCGAAGCATTGTTATTCGGTCGGTTTTCGGTTTTCAAAATTTTCTAAACTAACTGATCACCAAACCAAATAAGGACCGGCTTATTCAGCTTTAGGTTATTCATCATGCATAAACCAAATAAGGATTTTTATTTTGCTTAGATTTGTCGAACAAAGTTTATAACTTCAGGGTCCCACGGGATTAGTGGACCTAACTGTTAACTTCAGGGTCCCACGGAACCAGTGGAGGTAGACGTAAGTCGGGTCTAAAGAGAAAAAGATGATAATGGTTCTTGAAGATGGTTAGATAAACATGTCTTGTGCTTTGGATGTCCTTTTCAATATGGTTTAACGCTTACAGGGACAAACGTACCTTGATATTTATTTATTGATTTTGTATAAAACCGAGTGCTACACAGGAAAAAACAACGAAAGATACTAGAAACATACGCGTACATCAAGCAATGCCATGAATTGAGCGATGAACTGAGGGTGGCCCGGCCAGGCTGCTCCGGTTACTAGATTTCCATCAGTAAAGCAACGATCTATGGGGTCGGGTTCTAACCAGGTTGCACCACCCAATACCACATTAAGTTTGACAGCAGGATATGCAGTACATTTCTTGCCCTAGTAAAATATAAAGAAACATAGGTTAAAACACAAACTAACATGAAACGGAAAACCAACGGAATTGGATTCTTTCTAAATGTAACATCTTCCTAACACAAGAATGCCTTAAAATCTGTAAAACGTCATGCATTTAAAAGAAATATATGCACACGAACATGCATAAGATGAATATATCTTGTTTCCGAAAATAAATTGGGAAGAGTAAAACCTGAAATTAGAAATACTGATGATGAATAAACAAAATTGAGGATGAAGTGCTGTCAATACAAGAAGGATTCTTCTTATGGATTACAAATAACATATAATGCTATATATACAAAAATTACAATTACCAAAAGAACATGACAACCTAAACAAATGCTTCTGAAAATTATTGGAGTGGAGTCCTTAAGAAAATAGATTATGCAAAACAAGAAAAAAAATACAGGTATCTTAGCAAAAACTAATGGTAGATAACCCATGGGTCGCACTCCACGTGAAGAAAAGATATCGATCATCAACAACATAAATGATGAAGGAATATATATATATATAGGGAAAGGTTCATTTGAAAAGTGATAAATACTTGAGAAGTAAAGAAGTGATCCTAACCCTTCACCTAGTCAACATTTGCAGCTTTGACTATGAAGCAACGGATAATTCCTTGTATGGATATGCGGAAGTTAAAAGGGGTAGTTTCGTAACTTTTACAAATAGGCGGCAAATGGGTTGATATGTGAACCGGTTAATTAGTTCATATGTGAATTATTTAACTGATTCACATATGAACCCACGATGTTCATATGTGAACTCGTGTGATTCACATATGAACTAATTAACCAATCACATATGAACTAAATAACTGATTCACATATGAACCCATATGAACATATAGTTCATATGTGAATTATTCGTTGTTCATATGTGAATCACACATGCACATATGAACCTATATCACACTTTCACATATGAACCCGTTTGCCGCCTATTTGTAAAAGTCACGAAACTACCTCCTTTATTTTTCGTATAGCCGCAAATTTTGACGAGTTAAAGCCGCAATTCTTGACTAGTCAACTCCGATCTTGACTGTATGAAGGGCTAGGATCACTTATTTACTTCTCAAATATTTACTGTTGGAGCAAAGCACGTGCCTTCGAAGTTTGGATTTATGTTTCTTTTGGTCAATTAAGTCCTAGTTAATAGGAATATTTTCTTTTGACCGATTAAAATAAGCCGGACTTAGTCTTTAGGTGTTAGTTGCTTTCTTTTAGCTATTTCAGTTTCTTGTATGGCTATATATACAGCCCTTGTTCTGCAATTTAATTAAGAGTCCACTTGGGCAACTATGAGCAGTAGCTTTTGTTTCTTTGTTCAACATTAACCACATCTCAAAATAACCTATGACTATATATATATATATACACACACACACACACACACACACACACGAGAGTAAATTACATGTTTCGTCCTTATGGTTTGTTAAAAATTTCAATTTTCGTCCCTGTGGTTTAGAAATTGTTTTTTTCGTCCCAATGGTTTGTAATTTATTGCTATTTTCGTCCCTAAACTAAAATTCTTACCTTTTTAAGTACAAAGAGACCAAAATAGTAAAAAATTATAAACCACAAGAACTGAAACAATAAATTATAAATCATAAGGATGAAAATAACAATGGTTTACATACTATAAGGATGAAAACCACAATATCTAAACCACAAGAACGAAAATTGCAATTTTTAACAAACCATAGGGACGAAAAACGTAATTTACTATATATATGTGTGTCAGAAGATTGGTCCCCTAAATAACTCGTCTAACTTAGGTTCTGATTTGATAGCATTAGGCCAAGGGCCTAATTAATCACTCATAAATTCTCATGTATCAAAACAGGTATTATTAAGCAAGCCAAAAGTTGAAAGCTGCAGTGAGTTCTTATTGCCTAAATTCAACAAAGGGGTTGAGTGACATTTAGATTTTGCACCCAAACAAGACAAGTTAGAACACAACAATTGACGATATATCACATAATCCTGAACTTGCATAACATTCCTTGCTGCTACTGATTTCATTTTGTGAGAATAAGTGGAACCTAATTAGTTCACTCTTTAAAAGAGCCCTTGATCAGAGAAGGGAGGTTCCAACATATATTGAGGAGAAATGGTCCAATCTAGCCAATATGGGACTTCAACACGTCCCCTCCAATGGAGTTAGATGGACACAAATTGTCCCATAGTGTCGAGAGAGGGCTACATAGGTACATACCGGGTATTGAGTTCCTAGAGTGGTAAGACCTCGACTCTGATGTGATGTGAAAACATGTGGAATGGTAACCCCATTGGATTACTCTCCAAAAGAGGCTTCGAGGAGAGAAGGGAGGTCCAAATATATCGAGGAGAAACGATTTAAGTCTAACTGATGTGGGACTTCAACACATTTCAACACTCCAGTTGCCGAAAAATAACAACTTTTTGATGGTGCTAATCCCCTTTAACACGAGGGGTCCGATTTATCATTAAAGAAACTAGAATAAATAACTTAGAAAAGAAATGGAAATCAAAATTGAAGCAGTACCAGAAGAAGAATATGCAACATGCACAGAGTTGAAGTTAACAAAATCGGGCCCACTAGAAACTAGACAAAGCATGAAACAACAAAGGCATGCAGAGAGCAAGTAAGAGTTAGAAGAAGACGAGCTGTTTTCATATTTTGTGCTTACTCAAAGGCAAAACCAATTTAACGTCATAGATAACTCGTGTTACCACTTACAAGCTTACCCTATTTAATTATTGCACAAAGGATCGTAACACTCTTCCAGATCATAAAATGGGTGCCACCATTATTCAAAATCATATTTTCATTTTTCAATAAAACATACGTCCATAGCATTTCGAAATCTTGAGGTTCAGACCACCAACTAGTGAAATACATTCACATAGGTTATGTAAAGCATCAAACAAGAAAAGGGAAAACGGGAGGACACACAAGCGGCCACAAACTTGAACAACTCCACATCTAGATCACGATGCATCTCCTACAAAAAGAACATCTAATGTAGGACAAAATCCTTCATGTTCTTCTGAAAAAAGCTAATTAATTTGTCCGTTGTGTAGCTAATGACAAGTATGGAAATATTGTGTTTGGGACCAAAGGTCATTGGCCCAGCGGTTCCCGGGTTATCATTAGAGCTCAACCACCCAAGAGGTCAAAGATTCAAACCTCACCAAAAGTGTGGAGTGTGCATGAGTATTTGTCATATATAAATATTATATACATAAAAAATAAATAAATGGTGGTGGTAGCTTGGAAGCAGGGAACGAGTGTGGTTAACGGCTTAGTTTTGGTCCTTATGTTGTGTAATTGGTTGGGTTGGCCCAGTTATGGAACTTTGATGGCAGACGAGGTGCAGAGCAAGGACAAAAAAGAATGTTCCTGCCCTTTGAAGTTTGGATTGTGGGGTAATCTGCTTCTGTAAAGGATTTAAATGTCAACTTCAATTTTGATTTTACATTTTATTTTATATCAATCCTACTTGTTTATTTAATGACAAATAGGCCGATTTATGTTAAGCAGTGCTGCATTTCTTTGGCAGTTGAATAAGTAGTATGAATACTGGCACCTATTCTATTTCCATTGGACTTTTTAAGTCTTATTTCACGGGACCAGGGCGGAAAGACGAGTTACTATTTTCACGAGCTCATTTGGACTCATAAATCAAACTCCTATTGATTGGGAAATGCTCAAAGGTTCTTGTTCAAATGCCAAATCCCTTAGATGACTCACCATCCCCTGAAATACCCAATCCGGTATGCTGGTTGTTCATAAAAAATGCCAGGATGGTCAGAAATGTCAGATTGCCCTCTTTGTTTCAACTTTTTCAGTTTTGTTTCAAACTGTAGGTAGAGTGCTCGATTAAGGTAAAATTAGGTTAGAATCGGGATAATGAACCTCAACCCATCAACAGCGCCATCAATCCACTATTGTACCATAACAAGAAGGGTTAAGCATGTTATTGATTAGATTTAAGCAAAAGGTAGATTTCCAGATTGCAAGAACCTTATAAATTGATAATGGAAAATTAATGTAATTTCTTACTAGAAGGAAAAATCTGAAATCAAAAATTCAAAAAAATAGAAATTATAAGTGATGATTGAGCACATCTTGCTATTTTAAAGATCCAGTAAAAAATCAAAGAAAAATATAACGATAATGGTGTCAAATTAAAGATTAAATAATTCTCGTATTTTTGGTATAACTTGTTCAATTTATTATTTTATTATAATCTATATATTTTAGATTTTAAAGTATAGATGTAATTTATTTTAGTTTTTATGATTTTTTTGGATAAAGATAATGATGATTACTCTGTTGAGGCTCATGTGATTTATGGAGTTCAAAGGGCTTTAAGAAATTGTACGAATGCACTAATTACTTGTAAACTCGAAATTTAGGGGATCATGCATAGCACATAATGTTTAATAAGTTGTTTTTAAGACTTTTACCTAAATGCTTTATAATATAGTATATAGATTTTTAGATTTCAAAAGACGAACTCGTACCTTTAGAACACCAGCAGCAGACAGAATCTGTTGCCCATGGCATATGGATGCTACCGGCTTTCCAGCTTCCATAAAATATTTTGCCAGTTTAATAACTTCTTGGTCTAGTGCAAGGTATTCAGGAGCTCGACCTCCAGGGATGACAAGAGCATCATAACTCGAAGCATCTAAATCCTTGAAGTTAGCTGTCAGTTCGAAATCATGGCCGGGTTTTTCACTGTATGTCTGGTCCCCCTCAAAATCATGGACAGCGGTAGGACAGTTGTCACCCGCTTTTTTGTTGGGGCAAACGGCATCCACATGGCATCCAAGAGCTTGAAGGGACTGAAAAGGAACAAATACCTCATAGTCTTCCATGTAATCCTGCACAAGAAGCAAAAAATAGAGACAGTAACTAATCATGTTGCAAATTGATAGCCTTTTCCTTGTTCAAACTAAAAAAAGTCTAATCTTAACAAGACTATATTAAATCCTTCCCAGAATTTGAAATTACTATCAGGCAGACATCTGCACTCATATACTCTATATGGTTCCCTTCTGCAGTGTGAGGTTTTTTTTTCACAAGCATGAGGTAGGTACTGGTGTATAGGACACTAATTTAGATGAAACAAGAAACTAATTAAGCTTATGAATAATACAATACATAAGCTAGGAATAACACATCAAAACTACCAGCTTCACCTTATCTAGAATTTAATCAAATATAGATGACCAAAAACTCATATAACTAAACAAAAAATGATAAGCTTCCACTATGATAAAAAAATCTGTGCATGTCAACTCGGTTCTTGATTATATCAAATAAGGAATTATAACTTACCCCACAAAGGAATAGAATCCGTTTGTTGGAACCAGTTACGGTACCTCCTAATGCCTTGATGAAATGACGGATATACTCAGCGTGCCCATAGTAAGTAGCTCCAGTGATAAAATTTGCATCAACAGTGCATGATGCCAATGTCTCGGGTTCTACCCAATGAGCACCAGCAGCAACGAGCACAGGTCCAACAGCAGGATATGCTGTACATTTTCGATCCTTCACTACATCAGCAGCAGCCAAGATAAGTTGTCCATGACAGATGGAAGCAATAGGTTTTCCAGATTTGGCAAAATGTTTCACCAGGTCTAGGACTGATTCATTCATCGCAAGATATTCTGGAGCACGCCCTCCTTGTATAATCAAGCCACTATATGTGCTTGGATCAATCTCATCAAATGTTGCATTGAGAGTGAAGTTGTGACCACGGCCCTCGGAATACGTCTGCTAAAATATAGTAAAGCATAATAACACCTAGCAAATATGCAAGAAGCAGAACTATTTGCAAATGGCATAATAACAATGTAGCAAACTTGACTTCTGCAACTTGTGCATGTTACATTTTCATAATGAAGAATGAAAATAAAGAATAAATGATTAATATATAATTTAAATCATATTAATAGTAAGCATTGTTAATGTGTAAAACACATATATCAATTGAAATGGCAAAGAACAATTTGCAAATCGCATGAGAAAAAAAAAAAGAACATGCGTCTCTCCCACTTGGCATCTCAACTTCCGATCCATCGTCACCTCCCATCTCTTGTCACTACCTCTCTCCAATTCCTCTCCTCCATCTCTTCCTATCGCCCTTAGAAGCAAGTTTTGTTTGGCCCTAGTTTCTAATTTCTAATTTCCCCTTCTCACCTCTTTTCTTTAGGTTAATAAAAAATCTGCCTCCTATATACCCAAACCCTTGATCAACAATTTAACACCCCCTGCATATTCTTGCACTGCAAACACACCACGGTAAACCTGAGGATATTTTTTAGATCATATCACAGGAGAAAACATCAAATCATGCAGTTTCAAGCTGATTTTTATGAATCACTTCAATTTTTTTCTCTGATATGAGCAAATGAAGATTTTCTTTGGATTATGGCCCCTTTTCTGCTACCATGTCTTCTTTCACTTGGTCAACCAAATAGCCCTCATTACTACGACAAATTTGTTGCTCGTCACCACTTGGATCATGAGCCAGGATCATGGTGTGGAAAGTGGATGGATAAATAATACTAGTTGTAGTAACAAAGTGACTTACTTTTCTGTACTTGGACTCAAAACATACTTCACCTTATAGCCCATATTTTATCCGATAGATTAGTCTGTGCAAGTTTGTTTGAAACTTTGCCATATTTTCCCATTTTTTTTATCATTTTCTGCTTCTATATTTAATTGGAGCACAAGAGAGCTTGGCTTTTGGAATACGTTCGGAACTATACACCAACTTTTTGTGAACATTGGTGCGATCAGGCCTCTCTAACTGGCTAGCTGGCTATTTTTGTACCGTAGCCTCTCTAACTTCACAGGGAACTTTCCCTTGCAACCCGCACCGACAATTGAAGGCCAAACACTCAGACAACCTAACTTTTGGTCTTCAAATCAAAGTGCCCAGTTGCGTCTATAACTATGTGTGTGTCAGGGTTTGTATCAAAACACAACAACCACCTGACTTTATTCTTTTGAAGCCACTTAGCTTAAATCATTAATTCCATTCTTATACAAGTATGTGAATTTTATAAATTGATATAAGGATCTTCTTGGTAACCACCAAACCTACTTACGAGTTTCTTACATAGTTCTTACACGAAGAGTTCACAAAATCAAGACTTCTATTTACCATATCTTATTCCCCTCAAATTGCAACATCTGAGTCTGCACTCTGCACTTAACTTAATAGAGGTATGTAAGGATTAGTTATAAAGGTTAAAATGCATTCGACAATGGAACTAGAGGACCGAAATACACATCATAAATGACAGGCAAATAGTTAATTTAGCTCAAAGATTTTGCCAAACAGAAAATTGAACAGTGCAATCAGTATGTCGCATGAAAAATGTTGAATGTTTGAAACCTAAAGGAGTATTACCAACTTGTATAGAAATTTAGAGTGTGTACGAATCAAGTGAGAGGAGGACCTGATGAGCAGAACGTTGATGGATAGCAGTGCGACAAATATCACCCGATTTTTTACCAGGGCAAACAGCATCGACGGACAATCCAAAAGCTTGCAATGCCTGAAATGGAACCATCGCCTGCCAAACCGATACAATTCAATCACAAAATTATATTCCGCATCGAGATTGTGTTCATAGTAGCGAAAATCAGTGTTAAGAATCAAAAAAACCTCAACGTCTTCCATGTAATCGCCACATAACATCAAGACCTTCTTTGGAGAACTGGAATTCGCCATTGGAGATAATCCTGAAATCCAAAATGTGGAGGAGATCCAGAGACTTCGAGAAATATGCTCTCTATATGGATTCTGCTCCGCCCTTCACTACGAACTTCCACTCAGCCCCCTTCAATTATCTAAATAGAACCATACACCCCTTTTGGATGTAAAACTAAAAGTACATCTAACAACTAATAATTTTCTAAAAAATGTCTATATCAACTTATTCTAACCGTTGAACTTATTTAAAAACTTCTTGTTACCAGTTTGGTATCGGTATAAACTGTTTATCCAAATACTCAAAATTGATTATTACTGGTGACACACTGAAATAAATCAAAAAGTTGTTTTTATAAGCAATCCCAAACACCCCCATTGTGTTTGGCCAAACCAGCAGCGAGAAATCTAGCTGATAAACGAAATACATTTGGTAAAAATTAGCTTACTAGCTAACTGAGAAATGTAAAATGATTAAAAATGACATGTTTAGAAATTAATAAATTTAGTTCTCTCAAATTGGTCCATAATTTATAAACAGATTCCATTCTTTTCGTTTACTGGTTTCTTGAAAAGATTATAAAAATTGCTGATTTTTGAAGTGACTAGTTATATATCCACGTGCTTTTCTTGTTGTGCAAAATATGTCGATTTTGAAGCTAAAAACTCAAAATGGAAATCTCGTTTCATATTTTCTTTTCTTTTTTTCATTGTTGAACAATAAGATTTTATGTGTGGAATTTAAGGATACCAGGGTTCTCAATGCTACAACATTTGTTCTTATATTTTAAAGAGCAATACAAGCAGTACTGGGGTTTTTTCGCATCTTGTAATTTACAACTCGCTATGTGAGCCGAATAATCTCAAGACGACCACCTGATTTGCAGATAGTCTGGAGTCACCGCATTTGAAGGGATTTTTATTCCTCCTTGGATTTGAACCTAGAACCTCCAGGTACTTTTGACCTTTGGAGCCAAGCTCAAACCAATCAGGCACCACCCTTGTTTAATAATCGATAGTTGATTGTATCTTATTTAATCGTGTAAAATTTCTTGATACACCGCGTTTGATGTATAGACTCCATGGCGATTGAATATTTTTGGCAAGTTTCACCAATACCTTTGTAGTTCCTCGTGATATACCTTTGGATAATGTCATGTAAAGTTGGTCATGTGAGTATACCAATTATGGTAGATAAACTCCTACATTTGGAATCGTGTGTCCTTGAGCTTTATTGATTGTCATAGAAGCTTAGGGCAAACTGAAAACTATTTTCGCAATAGTTTGAATAGGAACATGCAATCTTTGGATGGACATAGAGGAATTTTCAGCGAAAATACCCTCTTGCCAACATGCAACCAACAATTATTTCCGTATTGATGTTTCTGCTGAAAACCTTTGCATGTCAATCTCGTGTCGTGACATAATCCATTCGTAGGGTCGATATTTCATAATAATGTTATCGGGCATACAACTTTGAGTCGAAGATAATGAAGAGGCAAATCACTAAGGTTAGTAAGTTCAAGAATTCCATTCAATAAAAGTTGTTCTTATCTTCTTATGATTCATCGAAACTATAGTAAATCTTTTCTTCTCTGTAGAATCTTTAGATCAACTGATCATTAATCTCATCGACATTCTCATTTTTTATTGACAATATCGCCATAGAAATGATATAATCTGATGCGATTTTATTAATTTGCAGAGATGGAAATCTTACATCAATAAAAGCATCCTCTGAGTGATGTTTATCATTGTAGGGAATTGTCATGTCGTCAGGTATGGAGATAAAAGTCTCATCCACTGTTTCCTCATTTCCGTCACTTACCCGTAAAAGGATTTTTGAAAATCACGGATTAGTCACTTATATTGATAGAGTAATTGTATTTTTTATTCAAAGACCAAAAAGGTGACATTCGTAGGCTGGAGCGTACAATTTTTACTCGGGTACACAATGGATGGCCAAAAAAACTTTTCTAGAATCGCCTCTCATCACCATTATATTTCCACCGAATGGAAGCGTGTTTCCTATGAGGTCTTGCATTGTTCAATCGAGCGCCTCCACCGCTTGCCAATTAACCATCAACGCTTCGTCTAAATGTTTAGTCTTGCAATCCGAAGTAACTAAGCAATTTTACTTTGTTTTTTGATGTTGTTGATAAGTGTTAATTTATTAACCCTATCACACTATTTTCCTTATCTTTTTTCTTTCTCTTATTTGCCCAAAATACCCCTTTGAGTCTTTTTAGCACTTCTTTTTATCATTTTTATCGGGCTTCTGACAAGAATAACCCAATATTTTTCTAAAATTACGTTTTTAACCTTTAAGTTTAAAAGTTTATAAAATTAACTATCAGTTACTCATTTAGCAAAGAGTGGCGCTAATGGGGACCTATGTACCAAAAAAAATTATGACATCGATGTGACTCTTTTTCTGACCGCCTTGACCATTAGTTAAATTAAATTTTTATTTTTTTCTTTTAAGAAATTTATTTTTTTTTTAAATTTATTTCTTTATTAAAAAATTGACACATGTTATTTCACTTAGATGGGTTGAGTTAAACTCTAAGCCAACATCAAAAATAGTACTAGTAATGGTCTAATTTGAAGTTCGAATGAAGGTCATTTGATCCAAAAGTGGGTGTTGAGAACTATTGGCGTGGCAACTTCATGAGATGTAGCAAGGTTCTACTGCATTTTCGCAGCTAAAGTTCCAACCTGAACTTCCATCCATGGTTTCTTTAATTACTGTCAATATCTTAGTAGATGGTTAATTCAAATCAAAGAAACTGTTCATCGAAATCACCATGTAAAAACTTGTTTTAAGACAGACTTGTTGGAAATCCTCACTTACACTGTCCATGTGGACCGATAGCTTAGTATTCTTATGATTATTATTTGTTTTAAGAAATTTCAGATGAACTAATATCAGCACAAATTTTTGGCGTTTTTGCCAAGACAAGTCAAAGCAAGAACTTCCTAGTCGTTTTTTGAATCTAATTTTTTGTACCGCCTTTGTAACTGGCTTTTGGATGTATGCCACGATTATCATACAAAGAAGTTCTTGATTAGGATCTAAATATTGAAAGAAGGTTTAGAACAAGAAGAATAGTATAAAGAGCTTTGTCAACCATTTTGGAAACTTTCATAATGGAACGAGCTTTTTGGACCAAATCAAAGGCGAGATACTCAACAGGAGGTTTTAAACATCATCCGAGTTGCAAACTCTAGAAATGGAGGCGTCGTGGATTACACGATACTTGTTTTGGTCAGTTGCAATTAGAGATGGTTAAACCCTGGATTGAAATCTTCTCATCTTGAACTAAAACTTGTTATGTTTCAAAATGTTGAAAACGACTCACATTTTAAGTTCCTAAATCACCGACTCTTTTCAGATCACCAGAGTACCTGATAATGCTTTGAATTTAAAGTTGTTTATTTTTTCATTTAGAGAGAGAGGAAAAGCTTGGCTTAACTCTCTGGAGCCAGATTCGGTTAATATTGAAACATGGTCAAAAAGTTCTTTTTTTCAAAGAATTCCTTCTACAAGGAATGGTAAGTCCAAATATGAGTTTTGTATGTTTAAACAAATGGACAATGAAATGGTTCTTGATGCTTGGGAGAAGTACAAAGAGTTGTTAAGAAAATGCCCTTGTCTTGACATTCCTTACTGCATACAGCTAGAGACATTTTATTATGGTCTTGATGCCACTACTAAACAAATGATGACTATGATATTCTGTAAAAGATTTGAAAAAGGGAATGGCCATTAGTCAAATCCACTTGCATTAGTACCTAAAAGGAAGTTGTTGGTGTTCATGAAGTAGATGCATATACTGATTTAACTGCATCATGGAAATGACCAACATGATTGAAAATATGGATGTTGTCACTACAGTTGCTGCAACAACTATTTCATAAGCCAACTCTATACAATCTGTGTTTTGTGGTGAATGTCATACCTTTGATAATATTAGTCAAGACAATAATTGAAACCAAGTGGGTATCAGAAAACAAGATAGATGAAAATGGTGTAGTGGTAAACTTTTAGAAGATGTTTGTTTTCAGCAACCACGTTGGCTTCGGGTACAACGTAGATCCCAAATATGTCTTGGCCGAGTCGTGTAGCAGTGTCGCTGCATCTGGTGCTAGCTCGTCCGCTTTATTATCGAATTTATACCTTTTTATCATTATGATGTCTAATTCTAATTTTATGTTTGTTAATTACCACTACTAGAAAACAAGGTATCAGCGACGACTATCAGCGAGGGAAAAAATCCCTCGCAGATCAGCGAGGGATCAGCGAGGGAATAGCCAAAAACTGAATCCCTCGCTGATCCCTCGCTGATCTGCGAGGGATCAGCGAGGGAAACCATTTTTGACAATTCCCTCGCTGATCCCTCGCAGATCAGCGAGGGATCAGCGAGGGATTCAGTTTTGGCAAATCCCTCGCTGATCCCTCGCAGATCAGCGAGGGATCA